GTTGCCCAGACGCTGGTTCTCGACGTTGGAGACGACCAGCTTGCCGTCGATGTACAGCTCGCCGGTTCCGTGGACAGACAGACCAAAGTCCCACTCGCCAGATCGCTCAGGGGTGAGAATCCCCTCCGTCTCGGCCCACCAGAGGGGGTTGAGGTCGGCATTCTCGTAGTCGACGAACCAGATGTTGGCGTCGTCCAAGACGCGCTCCTCGAGCGCCTTGCGCGCGTCGGCAGCGCCTTTGGCAGCAGGGGGGTCGTTGTAAATGCGCAGGACGAAGCCCTTCTGCTTGCCGTCCGGCGTGCGCAGGTTCTTGCCGAGGAGAGGCAGGGACTGGTGGCCGTACGCGCCCTGAGAGAAGACGACGTCGCTGGCGAGACCCTTGATGCCCTCCAAGGGGGTGACGGTCTTGTAGGCTCTGAGACCGGCGCTGCCACCGCCGCAGTACGTCGCGATGGTGGCGTTGGGGCCGATCACGGCAACCTTCTTGGTCTTGTCGAAGGGCAGGATGTTTCTCTCATTCTTCAGGAGAACCAGAGATTTGGCCGCTGCCTCGCGCAGCAGGGCGATGTGCTCGGGGGTGTTGGCCTCGGTTTCCGGGGCATTTGGCGGGATCTTGGTGTTCTCCAAGCCGTGCTTGACCAGCTTCAAGATGTTGCGCACGGCAGAGTCCAGCACGGACTTCTTGACCTTATTCGCGGTGACCGCGTGGGCGAGGGTCTCGCCACGCCAGCGGGTAGGGCCAGGCATCTCGAGGTCGAGGCCGGCGTTGATGGCCTCGGATGTGCTGTAGGTGCCGAACCAATCGCTCATCACCAGGCCGTCCCACTTCCAGTCGTCGCGCAGGACGTCTTGCAGGATGTGCTTGTTCTCGGCGGCGTGGTGGCCGTTGAGCTGGCTGTAGGAGGTCATGATGGCCCGCGGCTTGCCCATCTCGATGGCGATCATGAAGGGAAGCAGGTAGATTTCTCTCATGGCGCGCTCGGTGACGATGGCGTTCACGGCCATGCGCTCGCTCTCCATGTCGTTGCAGACGTAGTGCTTGAGGGTGGCAGAGACGCCAGATTCTTGAACTCCGTTTACATAGTGGCCGGCGAGGATACCCGAGAGGACGGGATCTTCAGAGTAGGACTCAAAACCGCGGCCGCCGAGAGGGCTGCGCTGGATGTTGACCGTAGGCCCGAGGAGGACGTGGGCGCCCTTTGCGTGGGCTTCATCTGATAGCAGGCCTCCGAGGCGCTTGACGAGTTCTGTGTCGAATGTCGCGCCGATGGCCGTCCCGCAGGGCAGGCATGCGGAGGGAGTGCTGTCGAAGAAGTGAGTGCCGCGCACACCGTTGGGGCCGTCGGAGAGGCGGATCGGGTTGATGCCCAGACGCTCAATGGTTTGTGTATGCCACCATCCGTTGCCTGAAGTATGGTTAAGATTTGATCTGAGCAAAACTTCTCAAGATACTTACCAGCTGTGAGGGCCACCTTCTCCTCCAGAGTGAGCTGCTCGAGCAGCGCTTCGACATCCATCGTGACGTTCTGCTGGTGGGAGGTCTCTGAAAGAGTTCGGATGAGGGACAGAACAGATGAGAGCTTCGGATCAAACTCAAGGGAACGCGAGCAGAGAAACACTGCTTGGAGGAAAGAGGGAAAAGTGCAATTCGATCGACACTCTTCTTTATTCCTGGAGCACGCGGGGAGCTCTCCAGCCCCGTCGCAACCGCGGGGTTCCTGGCCCACACATGGAGGGCATCAATTGAGCTCCGACAAGCATGACGTATTTTCAACTGCAGCAATGTTGCAACGAGGAGACAATTGGGTCCTGCATCCTGCGTGTCCACCTTGTCCGAGGCCGTCGCGTGGGAAGTGAGCCGACGCGACGGGTCACGATGGCAGCAAAGTGTTTGAAGAGTGAAGAGGCGGAGAAATACGAGTCGGTCAGGAATCCGACCAAGATCCCTTCGGCATGTGGACTAACTGCACGGACCATTCTCCAGTCCTAGTGTCAATAGTCAATTCGCCAAAAGGGAAGCCAAAAGCGCATTTCTCCGCCTCAGTCTTCCGTCTTCAACTCCCGACTACTAACATCGTTATTCCCACCATCACGATACACCAGACTGACTCAATTCTCCGCCTCCAGATCATGCTTTGTTGCTCCTGCTCTCTGGCAACAACACGAATCGATTCCCACTTTGTATCATCTGCCATGTGGGTCGTATGGGCCCCCGCGGATGCTATCCTGGAGGCGCGCTTCTTCTCCATGGGGGGCGCAACATTAGACAAGTCTGGCCCCATGGGCCATGCACCATGCGTGTGAGCCGAGTTCTTCGTTCCGGACGAACACGCGACGACCGGGGCATCGGAATAGGGGACTCCACTCCTTCTTTTTTTCTCGGTTTACTGTTTTCCCAAAGACCGTGCTCCTGAACTGATTCCTTTGCCTTGCTTTCCACGTGGAGGAGAAAAGAGTTTGGTATATAGACCTGGCCTGTCCCCCGGTGACAGACAGTTGGTGATGCATCCCGGTGTCACGGTCCTCACAGGCTCTCGTACGAGTCCAGACAATTCAACAACGACCTCATAGCCAGACCACACTACCTAATCTGTGAAGCTTCTCCCCCTATCCCCCCTTTCTTTGTTGTTAAACGTTACCCGCGACTCTCGGGAGTTGTCCGAACACCATCACAGTCAATATGGGGAAACCAGTCGAAGAGCTTGACAGCCTGCCGAGCGATGGCAAGCCGTGGTGGAAGCATGGCTACTTGGTGAAGCTCAACTTCATCACCACGTCCATGATTCTGTTCTGTATGTGGAACATTCCGTCTGTGAACCATCACCTGTTGTTCGCAACTAACCTCCGACAACTTTAGCGTCCGCCAACGGTTACGATGGAGGTATCATGGGCGGTCTCCTGGCCCTCAACACATGGAACACTTTCATGGACTTTCCCACCGGCGCGTACCTTGGCTGGATCGGCGCCATCTACTGGCTCGGAAACGGCGTCGCCTTCCCCGTCGCCGCCTGGGTCTCCAACCGCTGGGGCCGCAAGCCCGGTATCTACCTGGGCTACCTCTTCCTCATCCTCGGCGTCGGCATGCAGACGGCCGCCCAGAACGAGAAGACATTCACCATCTCCCGTCTCTTCATCGGAATCGCCGCCTCCTGGCTCGGCAATGCTGCGCCGCTCCTGATCAACGAGATCGCCCACCCGAAGCAGCGCTCCATCGCCAACGCCCTGTTCATGGTTGGCTGGTAGTACGTTCCCAACCCCTGAACCCGTTGTGGTCCGAAAGATGATGCTAACTGAGCTGCAACAGCTTCGGCGGAACTTTGGTCGGCTGGATCGTCTTCGCCTGCCGCGACATCCCCTCCGAATGGTCGTGGCGCATCCCCGTCCTCCTGCAGATCGTCCTTCCATTCGTCGCGCTCCCCGGCTTCCTGATGTCCCCCGAGAGTCCCCGCTGGCTCATCAGCGTCGGCCGCGTCGAGGAGGCCACCGAGGTGCTCGCGAAGCACCACGCCGGCGGCGACCGATCCAACCCCCTCGTCCAGTACCAGGTCGTCGAGATTCAGGCCACCATCAACGCCGAGAAGGAGGCTTCCGCCAGCGCGTCCTACGCCGACATGGTCAAGACCCCCGGCAACCGCCACAGGCTCTTCATCTCGATCACCCTTGGTATCTTCGCCCAGTGGGCTGGTAAGTACCTCCATTTGAAAGGCTGTTCTCCGAGGTCCTGGCTAACTTGGTGTTCCTAGGAAACGGTGTCGTTTCGTACTACCTGCCCCTCGTGCTCAACTCCGTCGGCGTCACCTCGACCACGAACCAGACTCTCATTTCCGCCTGCTTGAACGTGTGGAACCTCCTCTGGGCCATCGCCGCCGCGACCAACGTCGACCGTCTCGGGCGCCGCTTCCTCTTCCTGACCTCCGCCAGCGTCATGTTGACCAGTTTCATCATCGTCACCGGCCTCAGCGCCAAGTTCGCCGAAACCGCCTCCTCGAGCGTCGGCATGGCCGTCATTCCCTTCCTCTTCATCTTCTTCGCCGGTTACGACATCGCCATGTGAGTCCCTACCAGAAGCAGTCCCTTGATTTCTACCTTCGCAGGTAACTAACACGGAACGCAGGACCCCCTTCCTGACCGCCTACCCCTGCGAGATCTGGCAATACAGCCTGCGCTCCCGCGGCCTCACCGTGACCTGGTGCGCCAGCGTCGTCGCCATCTTCATCAACACCTTCGTCAACCCTATCGCGCTCGAGGCCATCGCCTGGAAGTACTACATCGTCTTCATCGTTGTGCTCTTCTGCCTGCTCATTGTATCCTACCTGTACTACCCCGAGACGCGCGGCCACACGCTCGAGCAGATCGCAGTCATCTTCGACGGCGACAGCGCCGCGGCGCCCCCGCCGGCGGTGACGAGCGAGAAGATGGAGGTCATGGTTACGCATGGCGACGAGTCGGATAAGAGGCAGGAGTTCCAGAGCGATGCGGAGCATAGGGTTTAAGGGATTCAATGAGTTGATGTGGTATTGGGTCATGATCAATGTGGTCTGAAGGAACGAAATCTACCGATATTAGTGTAATTGAAGATATCCCATGATGTCTGGTCTATATTTCACGAATCGCACATGGCTACGATGCAAATTCTGAACGCAATGATATCTTGGAGCCTATTATGATCCAACCTTGCCAGCAGTATTGCCGGTAACCAAAAGACTCGCCTGTAGGTTATCCATCTTGATGCACTCTTTCTAGGCATATGATTGTTGTTTTGATTGGGCCACGTCGGCCCAGGCCTGGCACATGCATCTGAGTGGCGGAGCAATGCGTCCCAGAGACGGAACCCCTCACCTCTTCAATCAGGCTGAGCAAGGTCTGTATTTCATCAATCTACCTTCGCCTGCCTGCTTGTTCACTCGGGCTTATCGGGTTCGAGCTCCTGTCGTCTCTGGTAGCCCGCTTTAGAAGAGAAACGCCACTTCTCGAGGTGTTTCTGCAACAAACGACAGACTATGTCCATCCGATTGATCGAGGTCGAGACTCTACGTCTCAAATCTTTCAATAGCAGCAAACCACCTCCATACGCCATTCTCTCACATACTTGGGTAGAAGACGAAGAAGTAAGCTTCGAAGAGATGCAGCAAATCGCTGAGAATCCTAGCCATCCGGCCACGCGGACATCTGGGTACTACAAGATCCAAAAGACTTGCTGTCAGGCCTGGGAACACGGACTTGAATATGCCTGGGTCGACACTTGTTGCATCGACAAAAGTAGCAGCGCCGAACTAAGCGAAGCTATCAACTCAATGTTTCGCTGGTACCGGAATGCGGCAGTATGCTTTGCATACTTAAGCGACTACCGCTTCCTCGACTCCAGTCACTTGAGGAAAATGCGAGAATGCAAGTGGTTCACTCGTGGCTGGTGTCTTCAAGAGTTGATAGCCCCAAAACATTTGATATTCTACGACCGGGCGTGGAGAGCCTTCGGCTCAAGACATGATCTGCAGGATTTAGTTGCGTCAATCACCCTGATAGACAAGGGTGTTCTTGAGGACCACACGATCATGTACTCATTACCCGTTGCACGGAAAATGTCTTGGGCGTCAAGTCGAATCACCACTCGCGTCGAAGACATTGCATATTGCCTCCTTGGCATATTTGACATACACATGCCCATGTTGTATGGCGAAGGCGAGAGAGCATTTTTAAGACTTCAAGAGGAGATCATCCGACAGTTCAACGATATGTCAATCTTCTTGTTCTCTCCAAAAGCATCGGAGATGACGTCTATGTCTTCACCAGAAATCAGTCAAACATATGAGCAAAGCAGCACGAACTATGATTCAGCTGATTCAACGTCCGCTGAATACCTTGGAGACTTGATGAGTTTCCAATTCTGTGGCATGTTCGCCACGTCGCCGGTAGATTTTGGTACTTGCAGAGATGTTGTGCACAGGCCCGGATCCAGGGCCCCTTTCGACAGACAAGCATTCGCCGTGACAAATCGAGGCATTCAACTTGGCAGACAAGAACTCCATTGCATCCAAGGGAAAAACTGCTTCATATGGGAGACTTCCTTCTGCCACTCCAACTCCACGGATTCTATGGTAACCGGGGCTATCTTCCTTCGAAAAATTGGGCGCAACCTTTTCGCCAGAGTACTGCTACTTCCTCTGACACCAGCAGACGTGGGCTCACATACCTTGCACAACGACGCCTGCGTCCTTCTCTACATGACTCCATCAATTCACCGTCAGATTTGCAATGCTCTGGAGGCAGTATTGCGTATTCAGGTCAAAGGCTGTTTTGCGCATAGGGCGTTGCTTTCTGAGCCAACTCCGATGGATAACTGGGACGAATCCGGGAAACTATTCTTGATTCAAGATTACCATTCTGTGGTCAGGCCTTTTATGGGATCTATTCGAATCAGTCCCGTGAGTAGGAGAGGAAAGAAGCTTCTTTCCGAAGGAGAGAAAGTCCTCCGGACTTCTTTCTGCAGATCATGATCGCAAATCAACCGAAAGGTGGCATAGATGCCTTTGTGTTATTGAACTTGTACAAAATGGCTGGGTGTTCTCCGAGTTATGTCGACTTTCAGCATGATTCCCATGTCTCCGAGGCCGGGTTGAGTACAAGTGCCCATATCCGTCGAGAAACTTCTCTAGGGTCGTTCCCATGTACGTGCGTAGTGGAGATTAGAGAATTTCAGGATTGATTCAATAGTGGCTCGATTCAATGGAACTTTGTTTTCTTTCGCTAGCGCTTTACAGAAGTCCAATGGTTGCTCACAGCAATCCAAGTTCAGCTTGATTCTGCTTGCATCCCACCTCCATGCTTTAGGGACACGACCACGTTTTGACGAACACACCAGCCAAGAGCACCTTAGACGTTGCCTTTTTCAATCGTGAGCATCTGTTTTGGGGATCATCATCACCGACCCACCCCCGTCCTCTAGCCCGGTTACCTAGTTTGCCACACTTCGTTGCACACTCTCTGGCAATATGGCGATATCCTTTCTTGGACACACCTTCCGTTATAACATGTAAAAGATTGCCCAAAGGTGAGATATTTTTGCCGGCAATTGCCTTCCATGCTCTCTCGTGATGGGCCGCCAGTTCTTTCGAAGCTCTACCTTTAACCCACCCAACCACTTTCTTCGGAAATGCTATTCCAACTCTCACATTGGGACTATGTCAAAAGCCACTGGGCGAATTCCATTCAAAGCGAGAATAAACTTGTGTGATGTTTCCGATGACTAAGAGCTTACCGGGACGCAATATTGAAGCTCCTCTTAACCCAACAAACGGGTCTTCGCTTACTGGCACTGCATGACGATATTGACACAAGGGAAAACTCGAGTCAAAGAAGCATTGATGTCCGAATACAAATTACTAAACTTAACCACACATCTCCAAAGGCGGTCAATGAAGGACGTGTTGTGTATGGTTTCAATGACATCCAGAGACCACAGGGCGTAGTGGGTGCGACACCATTGGATTACGTACTACACCAGGCACTGCTCTCTTAACCATTAGGGCGAATCCCTTACTATTGAGCGCCATAATTTGTGACAGGATTTCTTTGGATTTTCAGATTATTTCCAAAATTTCTACTAACTTTGAAACAAGCAAGCTTGGTCTCTAGTTTTTGTCTCTAATCATGTTCATGGTATGGGGGTTGAGATAATCAGCCTGCTGACTTAATGGCCGCTGGTTACTCGAGCCATTGACTTTGATGCCTCTAAGATGACTGAGAACTCCATCTAATACATTTCCAATATTCCGAAAAAGATGTAGAGGACGCGAGGGCAGAGACTGCCAGCGTCTGGAGCAAGGTCGCCAACTCTACCGTTTAGGTTTTGTCCTTGGATTAAGCGATAGTGGCGCAGTCAACCCCGCGCTTGCTCTTGCTGAGAAGAGTATCATTTTCAGGCAGCTTCAGGACAAGTACCTGATCGTGATTTGGACAAGCGCTTCGCCATCCCATTCGCCTCAGAGCTCAAAGATGTGCCGCCCACGAACAGCTTGGCTCTCTACAAACACTCTATACTACGGAGGGGGTGTGCCGTCAGCATCTTATCGCACGATAGGGGCGTCTCTTCAACCCTTCGGGGCCAGACTATCTAGTCGCTTGTCAGGATCTTGCATAGCATTCTTAAGCGCGATCCTTCACAGACTCGCGGTTCGAACGGACGGAAAGGATTCAGGCACAGTGAATGAGGAGCTCGCAATGGCCATTGGTCTCTTTGCACAAAGGATTCAGCCATATCGCGATGCCCACGTCGCCGGTGCGGCCCCCCTCACGTTCCAACGGCAGAATTCCCCCAACACACCGTCTGCGTTGGACCAACACGAGCAGAATTCTGCCCTGCCGCAGCCGGTAGCCTGTTGACGAGAAAAGTGTGGCTGCATGCCACCATGCCCAGCCATAGCAAAGTTGGGAAAAGAAACTTATCTCGAACCAGAGACGATGCGCGAAAGCTGGCGAATGGGATTGAAGGGCGGGTGCAGGGGAACAGACGCGAAGGATTGCGAAGCCATTGACGAACGAATGGCGGGTGCTGGTAGTCAAGTTGGGCAGCGCTTATTGACAGGCGTAGGATCTGGGCCCCTCGGCTAGAGGAAGAGAAAAGAAAAGAGACTGTAAAGAGTCGGCAGATGGCAGGCGGCTCTGATGAATGACTGGGGGAAAACGTCTCGGGAAGCCTGAGTCCAATGCTCGTCATCTGTTTCCAAATTCCAAGACAAAGTTGACGCGGGAGCAGGCTGGAGGGTCTCTCGAGACCCGGCCGGCGGCCCAACCTCGCACAGACAGGCGCGCGCTGTTGAGTCCGGAGGACGGAGCCTGGAGCTGCGGTGTATCGGAGCCAGGCAGGCAAGATAGCCGGGGGTAGTATTTTTTCTTCCCTGGGGGCCAGATTTTTGTTGCATGGGGAGGGAAATCTCCGAGTCGTCGACGGCCAACGGGTGCTTTCGTATAGGCTTGTTCGGCCGGGTCCAATGGCTGGTGTGCATCACATGGCGCGCGCTCTCGTACTCGCCATTGCCTGGCCAGGTGGCTGGTGGACATGATCGAGGGCCGTTTTGGATGGAGAGCGCTTCAAGCAAGAGAAAAGATAGGCTCAAATTGAACGACGAAGCATCGAGGTCGAGACGCAGAGCGGTGCCGCGCGCGGAGTGAAGCAGGAAAATGAAGGTCGGGATGGAGCAGAGGTTTGAAAATAGAGCAGGCGTTAAAGTTGAACTCGAGATATGTTGATGTTGGAAAATGTAAACAAACGGCGATGATGGATAAATGATGAAAGCCCGGCGATATTGGTGAGGAAGGTGAAGCTCATGATCATCAGCACCTTCCAGAGTCATCACCATCACACCGGACCCCAAAGCGCAGTCACAGCCCCCAGCGCTTTCCTTCCATCAATTCCACCTCCTTCCAACAATCCCATCACGGCAGGCAGCTTACCCCTCCCCTTCCACAATCCGCGTGGCTTCCATCTTGGCTCGTCTCCATTTCCCTGCATCCTGCCATCTTTTTCCCTTGCCAGGTTCCATTCCTTGTTCAGCTGTGTCCAGTTGCACCTACGGATCCTGTGACGCGGCATCACCTTCTCGGCTTCTCGTTTTCTCGTCTTGCGACCCCACAACGATCACGAGTCTGACGACACCGTGACCTGACGGCACCACCAGAGTTTTCTCTCTCTGCTTCCTCTTTGCCCAAACGCATCATCGCCATCCACCTCATTCCGGTCATCGAGATATCCAGAGCAAGGCCTCGTGTGTGTTTGCCCTGCCACCGCTAGCCTCGGAAACCCCTTCGACCAACGGGAATCCGACACCGCCTTGCCACTCATCACCGTCGGGGCCGGCTCTCGACACATCTTCCCGGTAGAAAAAGCCATCTGCAAGATCTGGTGGTCGACATTGGGATTTGACAAGTGGAGGTGAGAAGAAAGCGCAGCGCCGGACAGCGGCCAATGAAAAGGATCCAGCGCTAAGAATAGGAATAGCCAGCACTCGCCCGCGGAACGCTGCCCGAACGTGTGCCCCCGGTCCCTGACAATCCCACCGTCTCCCGCTGCCTCTCACTGGCTACAGCGTGCTGTTTCTAGCGCCCTCCAAGCAGGTTCCCCTCCGGGCCCAGTTAGCCCGCATTCACTTAGTGAGCCCCAGCGACGGGCAGGCCGCGCTGCACAACACCTCACCTCAGCCTCTCAAGGGCCCAATCACGGCTCTCGTTCCAGCTTCAAGCCAGCATCGAGGCCGCTCTCTCCACGCCGGGCAGCATCGTCGCTCACGGTCACTGGCCAATTGCTCTCACCTTGGTACGAAGACACTCGCAGGTGCCGGTTACCTGTCCCGGGCAGCCAATCCGCCATCACGACGCCCATCGTCATCAACCCGAGCCTTGGAACACTAGCTTCTCAAATACGTTGGGCTGATACCCGACGCCGACCACCTACGTTAGACCAAGTCCGGCATCGACTCTTGTCCTCCACACGACACACAAGACAACATCACACATCCCGGGCGAGAGGCCACGAGGCATCCACGATCGCGCGACGGGACAAACGGTGATCCCAGCAGCCATCGCAGCGCCATCCTCCGCCAACCGCTTCGCTCCAAGCCAAGCTCTTCCCATTGGCCGTCTCCTCTTCCGAAGAGCACCAACAACACCAACACCACCAACAACCTCTGTTCGGACGACCTGAAAGAAAGGCGCATCCCATCACAGTACACTGCAGCAGCCAACAGGCCTTCGGACTCGTCCAACACGCACCAAGCACAGCACCGCGCAGCACATCACACCTCTGGCATCACAGATCACAGATTACATTCACACACATACATACTCTCTCTCGCATCCATCACAGCCCCGCGAAGAAGAACCGCCAACCACTGCATCGTCGTCACAACCCCCCAAATTTGCCCGCTTTCTTCTGCCCTGCAACGAGCCGATTCGTCCCAAAGGGGCTGTTTGAGAAACCAAACCCACCCAGTGGAAGTCACTGGCAGAGGCAAATTAGCCTCAGCAAACCCGCCCAACCCCTGCTCGTCTGCCCTGTCAGGCCCCGTCTCTCTAGCCAGTCGCCGTCGCGCTGTCTCCTGCAGCACGTTCAGCACGCACTAAGGCAGGGAACACCACACACCACACGCGCCCGCGCAGCGAATCGAGTCGTCGCTTGCTCACGCCCGTCAGCCAATCCCATCCCTTCCGTCCGCCGTCCCCTTGCCGCTTTTACGGCATCCCGGCCGCCGCTCCTTTGGACGCTCCTCTCGACGAGTCGACTCCCGTCCACGCTCGACGAGCATCCCCACCACCACACGTTCACCTCCTGGCCGTGTCTCCAGACTCCCACTCCCATCGACGCTCCCGCCGCGCGCCACGCCTCGACTCTCGTTGGACCATTCGTCTTGCTGTCACCAACGCATCACGACTCCTCTTCACCTCAAAGCATCCTCCACGCGCTACGCCTGCTCTGCTCCTGCACGCTCTCTAAACGACCACCCCTCCTCCCGCGGGATCCCATCACCACACGCCCCGGCGCACCCCTCCCTCCGCCCCTCTCATCGTCCTGCCTACCAACCAAGCACGACGCACTGCCAGACTGTCGTCTGCCTGCCTGCTGCTCCTGCTGCTCTCCCGCCCGTGTCCAGACGCTTGCCCGGCGAATAGCACCGCCTTGTCATTTCCCACCCGTTCACCCCCCCAGCAACCCCAGACCAGACTTCCGGGAGCACATCAGCTTTCTCGACTGCCTTGCCGCCGCCGTCAGAGCTTAACCTCGCCCTGCACCTCTCTCATCCCTACCCGCTCACCACTTACACTACAACCACCCAAGCGCCCTCTCATCTCTCCGAGATAATATAACGTCCTCCCACCCTCACAACTGCCGACCTTTCCTCTCTTTCCCTCTCCCACAGGCGACTTGTCTCTGCAGCTTGTAGGCAGCTTGACTTCCTCCCTCACCAAGTCAGAGTCATTCACTTGACTGGACATCCTCCCCCGCCCTTCACTCGCTACCACCTCGCCCTCAAGTCACCATGCCTGGCAACAAACCCAAGTTGGCCCAGCTGGCTACGCCTGTCACCAGCACCTTCCCCTCCGAGACCATCTTCTCGGCCTCGACTCCTCTCTCCGCCAGACCCATGTCTTGCAAAGAGCTCCCCATCAAGACGCCTATTAGCCCGCCCACCGCCTACACGGACTTCCTCAAGGTCATGTCTCTCAACTCGCCTGCCGCCTTCAAGCCGTCAACCTCGGGCGAGACCACACCCGAATCCACTGCCGAGTCTGCCCCGTCGACCGCCACCAGCGAGGAGACGGATGTCTCGTGCAAGTGCGAGAACGAGCACAAGAGCCCGGCCACGGCTCCCGCCATCCCTCCTAGCCCCTTCACCCAACTGCCAATGTCAGCGCCTGCTACCGGCGCAAACTGCTTCCCGAGCCTCAAGATCCCGCCCTCGCCAGCAGTATCCTACCTGGACTCCCCCATCAGCGCCAGCACTGTGCGCTCCCCTTTCAGTGCCAGATCCGTCCACTCTGTATTCGACTGGGACGCAGCCCTCAAGGCCAAGAGGTTAAACGATGCCAAGAAGCCTTCGAGGACGAGCGTGAAGCACATCCGCGAGGTTGTCACGCGGACAGTGACGTACACGCCGAGGATGAACCCAGCGCCAAAGGGCAAGAGGAGGAAGGTGGAATGATTTCTCGGGCCACAGGCCAACAACCTCGTCACCATCACGTCCCTGCCGTTTCCTTTGTTTAATACAACTCTCAACACTACCATTCATCAACCCACGACAGGCTCAGCGCTACGACACACCCATAAAAAAGGAAATGCGATGAAGCAGGCTCTTCCCACGCAGGGACTCAAACCACACGGCATGACTTTACGGAACCACACCGGCGCACACCATCAGCGCATACCAAACGAAAGGAAGGGCGGAATCTATCCATGACTTGGGCGGGAACATCTTGTGCGACAAGGAGGAAAGCGATTTTTATTTCCCCATCATTTTTTATTCATGTTTCAAACCAAGTCTACACTGGGACAAACCGGAGTTCTTTGGCGTCATCCACACGATGCTCATGTTCGATACCAGGAACCATAGGAGGCGGGGTGGAAAGGGCTGGAATATGCCCTTGTCTTTGTATTTTGGTAGGCGGGAGGGGCGAAGAGAGGCAGACGGGCGGGCGGAGGAGGCTCAATCGAGAGTTGAAGACTTTTGTCCAAGTACGCAGGACGCTCCAGGTAGCCCTAATCAGCATACTGTGTATATCCATCACGTTTCCTGACCGCCGTGTGCGCGTTGATTGTTTACCGTTCCACGGCCAGCTTGTTCGTGCAGCGCGGCCGTGGATGCGGCCCTGCGTTGCCCCCGTGTTGTTGTGGGGCTGGGACCCCGGCCGCGATGGTGACCCGGTCCAGAGGCGGTGGACATGGCGATGGGCAGATTTTCAGGATACAAGAGGCATGCTCCAAAAATAATCACAAGTGTGGTTGTTGTTGGTTCCTTGCACACATGGAGTTGATCTCAAGTGACCTGGGAGGAAGAAGCTATGACCACCAACAGCAGCACCAACACCGGGCAAACTTGAAGGACCAACACGGGCAGTGGGAAGCAAACAGTGAGGACCAACAGGTTGGTAGTCGGGAGGAGCAGGCTTTGGTGAATGCGTTGGCACCAACAGACAATATTGCAAGAGGGAGGTGGCTTGGACCAACGCACAATTGGAATTGTTTGGGCATTGTTAGAGGTTGGAGAGGTCAGAAATCAGAATCGTGGGTTTGGTGTGTGGTGTTAGTGGTGATGGAGGGGAGGGGAAGCATCCCGCTGCACTCCCGCATTTTATGTATTATTCAAATGGACACTTAATTGGATCATTAGGTGATAAAAATGGAAGGAGATGTGTTCGTTAGCTGGGAAAGCACAAGAGGCGATGGGTAGATAGAAAGCCCGGGTGTGATGGTCGTCGATCTTGGGGAGTGGGATGGGTGATGTTGGTGGGTGGTGATGCTGCTGGAATTGAAGCGAGGCTTCATCCTCCATGAGCTAGCTGTAACCGTAACCTGCTACACCTGCGACTACCTCCTGTAGTTTCAGTGTAGTGCAGTTCAGTTCTGTTCACGTTAGGCTGCTGCAAGACAGACGTGATGCCCCAAAAGTGTGTACACTCCAGACAGTCGTCGGCAAACGCTCGTTGGGGGCCCTTTCCATCGCATTCGCTGCGCTGATGCGTTGGCTGTGATTGGCCGGCAGCCGGAGCAGCGGCCGATGCGCCCACACCCTTCACCTTCACCCTCTTGCGAATGGGAGGATGTCTTGCAGCTGTTCGCGGTTGAGATTGAGAGCGCTGAGCCACTCGTTTCCCTCACCACCATCCTCTGCTGAAAGCGCCCACACATGCACACAGAAGCTGGTGTAAGTGAAGTAAGCAGAGCCGTCCACGACAGAGGGGAAAAGTACCGAGCATACCTAGGTACGGATACAAAACAGTCACAGATCCATCCACAGGCTTTCTTCGCTGCGGACTCAGAGCAAAGCGTGCGCCAAAGACCTAAAAGCAGCCACGTAAAAGAAAAAAAAGTCCAGACTCATCAACCTAACCTGCCCTGCCCTGCGCAAAGACCCGGTATCCCGGACACTGCCTTTAAGCGCCGACGTTTTTTCCTCGCTCCTCCAGTTCGGTGGTGCCCGGCGCGCTGATTGGCCACGCAGGGGACAGGGGTGGTCCTCTGTGTTGCGCTCCCGCAGGTAGCGGGCCCGGTGACTGGACGGGGACGCGGGAGGGAACCGGGGGGTGTTTACCGTGCGAGAGGGGCAGGAGGGGACGTGATTGGACGGGTGGGGGAAGTGGTTAAGCGCCGGCGAGTTCGTGTGTTGTACCTTCTACTTTTTTTTTCTTTGGTGGGGTTGGTTAGGTTGGGGTGTTTTGCACTTTGGACGCTGGAGAATTTGGATGATTGTGCCTTTGGTCGGTTTTGGGGGATTCGGGGCGGTTTGCGGTTTGGTGGTGATGGGCTTTGTGGTTAGTCCATGGCGAAGAGATCGCAAAGGACATCTTCGAGGCTTACATGCGATAAGGGCAGAAGACACACAAGCGGGGATCATGCCGGGACGAGTCCAGACGAACATCAGGCTGGGGAGATGTCTGGTTGATCAAGACTACCTATCCATCATCTCATCTAGCGGTGTAGAAGACCACAAAACCACCATACAACCCTATTTTCTCATATCAGACGGCCGCTACGAGTGTACCGTACATTAGCATCGCTGTCTAGGACGCACGCACGTCTACCCGGAACCACTACGAATGCGACGGGCTCGCCCTCCCCATGTCTCTCTCGAATTCCCGCTTTCACGCCGGAGCCTAATCCCGTCTGCTCTGGCTGGCTGTATGCAGCAAGCGTCGCGAGCGCGGTTCTCGCATATGGAGAGAAATAACAAATAAACAGAATGCAAGTCGACTTGCCAAATGCGCCCATCTCGGCCGTGGTCGTGACACGAGCGAAGCGTTTCCCTCCAGCGCTTCCTCCAACCATATCCGCGCATCTCACCAGTCCCCCGCCCCGCGTGGTTGGTCTCCCCCTCCCCTTGTAAACCCTCACCATAAAATCTCCGACCTAAAACGACGAAGCCGCTCCGTTCGGTGTGTTTCGAATCATACCCCCCTTCGACGGAGAGGGCCAGGAACACAATCTGATACCAGATTTAGAAACAACGGTTGCCGCTGAAACCTCGCATCCAAAAGGGAAATGAGAGAGCTGGAAGCCCTGCTTTTTTCCCTTTCCCCCCTGGACGGCAGGCATGGTGTTTGAAACAGCGGCTGATCAATTTGCTTGGCCGGCACTCTGGCTGGTGATTGGTTGTCTCGGCTGTCTCGAGAGATGTGGTGACATTGGTTCGGTGACGAGAGACAGCTGAGGTGCAGCGTCACAGGCCGGGATGAAGACGGCCCCACGCGTTTCAGAGTCTTCTTTCGGTCCTTCCACACGCCTTCCATGGGTGTTTAAGGTACTGCGTGTGATGTGATGATCGTCCCGGAGATCAGCGTCTGGCTATTTTTGGGGTGTTCGTGTTCGTTGCCGTGATGCTCGTTGGTAAACATGAAGCTGGCCGGGCAGGTAAAGCAGCGGCTCTGCCGGTGCAATCTGCTCGCAATATCGGCCTCCTATCCTCGAGGCGCCGGATCTCAAAGCAATCTCCGCGTCTTGTGGCACTCTACGCAACATCCCGAGGTAGCTCTCAACGATGCTGAGATATGTATTTCCAGCTTGTAACTTCACGGCTCAATCCACAATCCGGACCTCCTTAGCCACAGCATTGCAGAGCACGACCTTCACCCCAGCCCCGGTGAGTACGTGAATCCACAGCCGCTGGGTATCGCTCAGCCGGTCGTTCGCGCTCTTGACCTCTGCGAACATGACCTCCTTCTCCGGCTTCGTCCGCCAGAGTATCAGATCCGGCAAGCCCCCGCCGCGCTGCCGGTACTCCTGCGCCATGACCTTGCACAAAGCCGCCAGCGCGCTGCCGTCGAAACAGTCCACCAGCTCCACGAGGTCCTCAACGTCGTAGTCCCAGTTAAGCCCAATGACACATGTCCGCCTCTCACGCTCCCGGTCGTCGACCTCGCGGATGATGCGCTCCGCTTCGCCGTTTGCAATGTCCATCAGCCGGTGGTTGATCTCGGAGGCGCGAGTCGGGTAGAAGGAGTCGGTATGCAGGTCCAGTGGACAGGTCTGGTACGCCGTCTGGAAGACATTTGGTATATACAAGAACAAAATGTCGTAAAACAGGTACGCGAAGAGGGTGCGGACGATGCCGCCCTCGGCATGGAAGCCTTTATACCCCTGGCTGCGGTACGAGCTGAGGCACATTTCCTCGACGCTGCACTCGCCGCCGTCTTCCAGCTCGTCAACCCAGATCGTTTTGGTGCTGGCTTGCCGGCCGTTCCTGCCCTGGGGGTCTTCCTTCTTGATTTGTATGCCTTCCACCGTGTGCTCGACGGGCTTTTGAAGACGAACATGGCCGAAGTCGTGTTGAAGTCGGCGTGGTATACGCAGCTGCTTCTCCAGCTTGATGAGGCGTTTCTGCAAATCGTAGTGGTATATTAAGTGGCAGTCATTGTCTTGGAGACCTGCTTCGCAAGTCGCGGCGGCGATGCGCTTCCAGTGCTTTTTCTGTATATCCGGGTCCGCTGAGACTGGGTTGCCGTCGAGAGCATGCATGTAGTGCTCCTCCAGAAGAGCCTTCCGCTGGTACCAGCTGCCTCGTCTCGCCGGATGAAATAGATGTTGACCTAGGAGCTCAGTGAGAAGAGAGTGCTCGCGTTCATGATCCTTCAGCTTTCCAAACACATAGGCAGCTTTGTGAACGATGCGAGTGTAGGAGTGAACAGGGGTAAACCTTCTCAGGTATGCGCCTTCACCCTCTTCATAGACCCGTGCCTCCTTCTCCTGCTCTTCGCTCAGTAGCATCTTCCATCGCGGATACACACGCTCGAAGATGTCAACAATCTTGCGAAACCCTGCCTCTCCAGGCGGTCCGTTGAATTCCAAAACGGAGTCAACGTCAGCCTCCACGCGGATCGCGGCCTCGAATTCGAGTACGTGCCTACGGGAGGCAAATATGTTGGTACTTCGGCAGACAATGTACTCGGGATAGTTCCGCCTGGCGATTCTGGCGAGGATGATTGCCGTCAAAGACTTCTCTGTCCACTCTGCCGACCGATAGAAAACAAGGTGGACCCTCTCGAAGAGTTTGTAAGTCAGAGGTGAAAGCCTAATACAAGGACCAGTGATGGCTCTGATCTTTTCCAAAAAGTGCCCCGTCTGGTTCGAGTCCTGCCTGCTGAGATGTGGCGGGGTGTCCCGTCCATCTCCCATGAGACCTCTGGCGTTTGGTGACTCTCCACTAGCAGACCTCTGAAGCCCGTGTGCGAAGAGGCCCGTCTGCTGATAACCGGTGCGGCACAGCGCCTTGATGAGATCTGCTTTGTTGCGCCCCTGAAATCTGGCCTCCTTGGCCAGGTCTTTGAGCTCGTCCAGACTTAGCAGCGATGCAGCTTCTTCAATGGTCGTGATGTGCTCTTCGGACGCATCCGCAAAAGTGAAGGTGTCGTTGAGACTGAACTCTTCAAGATCGACACCCTCGACCGGGTTGCCATCTGGCGAAACATCGACTTCTGGCAAGTCTCTGACCTCCTGGAGAGACTCGATGGCTGTCTCTGGATCTGATATGTCACTGTAATATCCCAGCCGGTCTTGACGATGCCACGCAGACGTCTTCCGCAGGAACAAACGAACATAGCTGCGCTCACTGTCAGTACCTCCCAAACATCGTCGAACGAGGCATACCCACAGATACTGCGCTTCATAGTCGAGCTGTTTCCACTGCTCGAAGACATGAGCCTCCTTCGCATCAAACAAGTGCGCCTCGTCCGCCAAGACGGTATCCAACGCAAGGTTAAAAGCGTCCACATAGATGGAGCTCTTGCCCCTCACCCACTTCCTCTCCGTCCCAGCATCCTTTTCTTCCTCGTCAGGCACACTGACCTGAGAGCTCCTCATCAATTCGTACTCCTCAATCGCCTCCTTGTCCACCTGCACCGGCGGCAGCGCACTTTCAATCGCAGTCTGGCGCACGTGGCGATCCTTCTCGTCTTCAGCGTCAGAGACATCGTTGACGGTGATCCCAGAGGTGTCAGCCTCGTCTTCGTCGTCCTCGTCATCGCTGTCCGCAATCTCGACCTTGACCTTCTTTGCGGGGCGTTCACCCAGTGGCGACGGCCGTGTGGGCGACCTCGACGGCGGCTGTGGTCGAGGCCGCGGCAGCCGCTGTACGAACGCATCCATTATGCGGCGCAGACAGGCTCAACATTGTCAGACAGAACGCAACACCAAAGAAGCGTAGGGTTCTTGGGTGGTGTGGCCGAGTTATGTCATTCGCGATGTGGCGTTCGCGGGGATGAAAGAGGGAGACGCGCTGGGAAACAGGCAGCCGCAGGGGGTAAAGTGCGATTCCCGACGCGACGTCAGGTGACCCCGCGTAAATGACCCCCCAGGGGCAGGTACTGTTGAATCTTGCTGTAATCCACTGCATCATAGCCTAGCCTGGGGTACAAGATCTCGATGCTCTCGCCGTAGTCAATTGAAGCAAAAACCTTGGAATCAACTTTGAATTGCATCAATTGGGTTCACCGTCCCATATTTCAGAGTACCTGCAGCGATCCGAAGCTTGCTCTTGCCTCGGCGCATACCCCAACTTCCCCTCCATAAAGCTCTCCATCTTCCTCGCGCATCTAGAATCGCCAGGACCCGTCGCATTCACTCAGCAACCCAGCGCAGGTGTCCCGCTTAATCCTCACCCAATCCACCCAGACCAAATAGCCGACAACCTCTCTCATCGTCTCCCGTTGCATCTTCCTTCCTTCCTCCGCAATGTCAAACCCACCACCGACGGAACCCACCCCTCAACCACCCGCGCCCGCCGCCCTCGCTGCTCCTCCTGCTCCTCCTTCGACCACAGAACCCACGATGCCTCCCGCAGCCGACCCCAGCGCGAACCCAGACGCCGCCTCCACGGTGGACGCTCCCATGGCCGACGCCCCCGACGTCGCTTCCGTATGTCACCCACCACCACCTGCTCCTTCCACGTTCACTCACACTAACCACTCTGCAGTCCCCGGCGCCTGTCCCTCAAGCCGCCCCGAGCCCGGCTCCCGCAGCGCCTCCGCGCACCGGAACCCCCAGCCGTAACCTCAACAACGGCGATGCCAGCTCACGCGCCGGCTCCGTTCACCCTGACACCAATTCGCTCAACCTCCCGAACGCGGCCACGCCTCACGGCGACAGCGCCCGAATGTACATCAACTCCACCGTCACGGCGGCGTTGCTCGAGGGAATGAAGAAGATCGGTAGAGACCAGTAAGTTTGCTCTACCCAGACGTTTCATCCGTCATGGGAATACGGTCCTAGATGCTGACATGTTTTCGTGCGCTAGGCCCGCGAACCCTCTTAAGGTCTTGGGCGAGTTCCTCATCCAAAAGTCCCGCGAGCGCGGCGAGCCTGAGTCGAGTTGAATGCGTTTTCCATATACGTGGGACGAAAGACATCATGTGATATTGGGCACATAAATACGGGAGACTTTGCTCGCATGGGAGGCAGAGGACACCCCCAACGATTGGCCACCAGCATATCAGTCAGTGGCTTTTAAGGTCTAGCCAGGCGTTCAGGAGGCACAAAAGAAGTTTTTCTAAGGGTCGAACCATTGAGGTTTGATGCCGCTTTAGATTCATGGACAGCACTTTAATGATACCACACGTTCTCATCATAAAACTTTTGATTTAAATCATCATGGCAGGCCCAGGCATATCATTGAAAACACGTTCGACGCTGATCAACCGTCTCATGTTTGCTTTGTGTCTACTCCTTCTCAAGTTGACAGTTGTGGATGGTGGGGGGTGTAAAACTTTTCTGTTTTTCATTCATCCTCGGCTGACGCCATGTAAACCGACGTGCCTAAGTCCAGAGAGCTGTTTGTGCATCGGAGCTCTAAATGCAATTACCCCCCAACTCCATGACCAGATTCCACCCCCATGCATTGCACACGCACGCGTACATTCGCGGCGGCGCTTTTTTGGTTCATTGTCTCATGTTCGCATCATACGAACAGGAGGAACACGACCTTCCAATCCATTTTTGTTTTTCCCCTCAAACACGCAAGACGACGACGACTGATGTCAGACGACGGTCTACGCTTAGGCGACAATGGTGGAGGCGGTGGCGGACTCGTATCTCCAGGTGGGGGGGAGGACACCGACGGTCTTGTAGTAGCGGGCGAGACGGTGAATACGGGACTCGATGAGAATCAGGCGGAACTTGGAGTCCTTGTCCTTGCGGTTGCGCTCGAGGTGCTTGCGGACGGCAACGGCCTGTGGTTCGCGAGACAAGTTAATCAACCCGTTTCCCCCAGACATTCCACGGCAAATTCTTCCCAAGCCTATAAACCGTAGGTTGGAGATGGGGAGCAACGTACCTTCTTGATGAGCATGTACAGGTCCTCAGGGATATCGGGGGCAAGGCCTGTTCATCATCTCTCTGTCAGCCTAGACCATACAGAGGCGCATAATTATGCGGTAAAAGAGACGAAGACGGGATTTGACGAAGTGTGTGTGCTCCATTCCACGTCTCGCTCACGGACTAATTGATGTCGTGCGTGTTTTCAAGGAAAACATGTTCGCATCGCCGCTTTGGGTTGTTCACTCGTATGGGGTCGTACCGTTGGACTTGAGGATACGCAGAATGCGGTTACCTGAGATTTCAACGTCAGCAAAGTCTTCCCCCAAATCTGTTCGAATCGAACCAAAAACATACCGGTGACGACGCGGACCTGGGCAACGCCGTGGGAGTCACGGAGAATGACACCGATCTGGGAGGGGGTGGCACCCTTCTTGGCCAGCTTGCAGATCTGGTCGACGACCTGCTCGGGGGTGGTCTTGAGCCACGAGGGGGGGTTGCGCGAGTAGGGGATCGCGGAGGAGGAGATACCCTTTCCCTTGGAGTGAAGACGGCCCATCTTGACGGTTTGGTGAGGTGGTTGTTTGGCGGCTGGTTAAGGGGTCAGTCGGTCGGTCGGTCGCTGGTCGGATTTGAGCAAAGGGAAAAAAGTTCGCGATCCAGATCTTGGAGGTTGAGCGCTGCCGTACGGGGCGGGTGGTGGATGGTGGATTGTGCGGCCGGGAAATCGTCGCTTAATTAGGGCAGCTGTGCCTTCCGCCGGTCACGTCGCTCCTGCCCGCCAGCTGGTGCAGTGTCTGCTCGGCCTGGGAAAATTTTCGGCTGAAGGACCCGCCAGTGTGGGGTCCGCGGTGGATACGTGCAGATTCAATGTGGCCCGTGCTCCAGTTTGCTTACCTCAAGCTCCGCGAGCTTGAGATTTTTCTTTCCGCCTCTTCAACTTCATCTCTTGGATGAACCAACAGCATCTGCAGCACGCTGCAGTCCGCGACGTCGTATTGCTATCAGCTTCTCCAGGTAAGAATTTTCCTCTGTCACTTCAACACCATTCACCCTCTCCATGAAATGATGATCCACACCTTTATTTTACTTTTTCTGGTACCTCTTATTTTAAAGCCTTCGGGCTTGATGAATGAACTGGACTTCTGAATCTTCACCCCAACCTCGATATCATGTTTGAAAACCTTGCCCTGGACGCCAAGCTAACATGGTTATGAAGACAGTCACTTCCGTCGACATTCTCAGTTCGATTGCAGACGCGTCAAGTGGCGCGTCCCAGTCGGGTAATGCGGCAGTATGCATGGATGGATTGTTTAAGGACAGCAGATAGCAAATTGACCATGGTTCAAATCATTCTCCCTAACTCCTCTGTTGATACGCGTTGTGTGCACGCTGCCCGGTGACGTCCTCTGGCCACATCGACTCGCATAGCTTGAAGGCGTGTCTGAGTGTCCCTTGAACGGGGGCACTCGCCAATTTGAGACTTCCCGTGGACGGTTTTCCCCCGGCATTACTTGAAAAAGCCTACTTGCAACTTTTGCAACTTATTGAATGCCCCATGCCCTGCTCGACGGTGCGACCGTGTGCCGCGAAAATATGATACAGCAGTTTGGTTGGTTACAAGGCAGTCGAAAAATGAACAGCCTGAAATTTTCTTCCGTCCGGATGTGCCATCCCCAGTATTGACTCCTCCTATCTCCATATTGTCCAACATGATGGCAATTACCAAGCACCGACCTCAAAGTTTTCCTAGAGAAGAACACTGTTAGCCACATGCTCGTGATTCATTGCGGTAAAGGGCAGCTTACCTCGGGGAAGTAGGTCGTGACGACAGTTCGATCCGCAAACTTGCGTCCTGCAAGCGCCTGCAAGGCCTTCTTGGCCACCTCTTTCGATTCGAACCTAACGAAAATTTTGCCAACGCCAGCAGATTGTCTGCTGCCTCCCACGGGTCTGGGAATCTTGACGTCAAGGACCTTACCAAACTTGGTGCATTCCTCTTCGACATCTTCCTTGATTTCTATGCAAAGTTAGTGCTTGTAAGACCAACCGCGTTAGTGCTTCTTACCCTCGTAGTCGTCATTGTCCATCAGCTCTTCCGGAGTGACCATGTTGAGCAGCTGCAGGACACGTGTTTCCTCAGAGTCTGTTGAAGTTGTCCCAGCAAGCATGGACATGGCAGCCACGCCCATCTCGACTCCCGCAACCTGAGTGACTCCAACGCTCGCCTTCTGGACCCTCAGCTTCTTGTCTCCAAGATCCATGCCATTAAGTCCTTGGATCGCCACGTCCGTCGCAGAGGGCTCGACGTATTCGCAGAAAGCGATACCGCGAGACTCTTCCGTACTCTTGTCTCTGACGAGGACAAACGCCTTTAGCTCGCCAAAGCTAACCAACAGCTCTGTAACCTGCTCGTCCGAAAGGTAAGGAGGCATGTTCGCGATGCTGATCTTGTTCGGCGTATCGATCACAATGTTTGAAACAACACCCGGCTCGTACGGCACGTCGTCGACGACAGCAGGAACGATGTAGTCCTTGGGGCGACGAATGACCAGGCCGTTGCTACCAGCGGCGCCATTCGTGGCATCGTCAGCTTCCATCGTAATCCCATCTAAAGCTAATGCCACCGTGGCCTCTGAAGCGTTTCTAAACTCAACGACTGCGAAGGAGTGATCCTTGGAAAGCTGGCAGCTAGTGCAGGGATCCGTGCTCTCGATCACGTTCAGGCCGTTAAGCTGCAGGTTGAAGAAGCCGACAATGCTGTCCTCCGTCGCAGAAGGGGGGAGGTTATTGATGAGAAGTCGCTTGGCCTGGCGCGAGTTGCTTGGCTTGAGCGCTGCACTGTTGACCTGACCACCTGGCTGGTTCATGATGGCCTGGAGCTTGCTAGGGTCCATGGGCTGCTGGCGAGGAGCACCGGGAAGTGGGAACATGCCTGACAGCTTGGCTTGTTCAGCAGTGACATTCTCATAACCGGGGGGTTTGATGTCCCACTGAGTCAACCGTCGCTTGCGCTCCAAGACCGACGTGACGTTGGTCAGGTCAGGCGTCGGCTCCCGCTTCTTGGGGGGTGGTGTCGCGCTGCGTTGGCGATCGCCGCGGCGGCCCATACCACCGTCATCGTGTTGCTGTTGTTGCTGTCTGTCGCCTCGTCCGCCTCGGCGTCGGTCGTCATAGGGGTCGCGGTCTCTGCGTCGGTGATCATCGTCGTCTCTTCTGGCATCGCGTCGGGAAGAGCCACGGTCGCGATCCCATTCCCTATCGCCGCGTCTATCGCGTCCAGAGTATCGGTCCTCGCGCTCGCGCTCGCGGTGGCTGCGGCTAGTAGCATAGCTGTCCTCGTCGTCGCGACGTCTGGAGCTTCGGTCGTAGGGCGAACGGGAGCGTCTGCGGTCGCGATGTCTGTCTCTGTCACCACCACGTCGATCATCACGATCTCTCTGCGGTCATTTCATTAGGCAGTGTCAACCAGAAAGGAGATGGTGCAGCTCTTACCGGGTAGTCGCGAGATCCCTTTCCCCGTCCGTCTTCAAAGGAGGCTGATGTTAGGAACACGAGAACAAAGCAGTCGAACGCGTCGGTCGCCAATGGTACTTACCGCGAGAGTAGCCATCGCCGTTCATGTTTGCGACGTCGCGTGGCGTGACAAGGATGCTATTAGATGATGGAGAGTCAAAACTGGAAGAGGTGATTGACGATGGAGTTGAAGACTCCCGGATGAGGCGAAGGCGCAGGCGTCTTGTCCACCGGCGCGAGGCTGGAACTTTTTTCCCTGAGAGGTCGAGTTCTGAAACTGGCATCTGATTGGCTGGAAGCTTTGCGGAGAGTGGATCAGTCCGAACCTCTGGGCCCGCCCAAGGTGCTTCCTTCCACGCCAAGCACGCTTCTGGTTAGCTTCGAATTAGTCATCAAGAAGAGGAAACAACACCACGAATTGTCTCGTGATGGTCTTCTGCTCTGGCTTACTTCTTATCTAAGCCTCTGAGGACCCTTAGTGAGAACGTCCCGAAAGACAACAGACTCACTTCCGACACATTGGTTCCTCTGCACAGAGAACCAACAATAAGAATCATTCAACTTTCTGATTGACAACAGCATGCCTACCGCAGATGGAGAAATGAGCAGGCAGCAAATGCAACAGCACTAATTGCTCCTGGTGGTTTCTACGATCTCTCACTGGAGAAAGCTTCTACTCGATATTCTACTCGAGATAAATATGTCTCTAGTGGTCTGGAGACCACCCCTCATTATGCAAAGGAAATAGTCTCGCTCGACTGAGCCGTTTCTCAGAGGCTCCGTGTGAGCAGCTGCGCTCGTCGTACTCTGGCTTGCTGTTTTCTTCGATTTGCGCTTCATTCATTCTAGTCCATTCCATAATTGGGTGACTAAGTACCTGCCCTCTTTGGAAACATTGAATGCCTCTACATAATCGGAATCCCGTCGAGCCATTACACGATGAGCTTGGTCCGTGCAAAATGCAGTCTCAATCCCGGACCACCAGGGGCAAAGCCGAATCCTTTGGCTCTTCCCCTCATGCAACTCACGTTCGCCATGCTTCAAAGGCCGGTGCCAGGCGAAGTCCGGCGCATACCTGGTGACTGTCCGATCAGGGCTCTCTCCAAGACTTACACGTAGATGGCGGCGATCTCGGCCTGAAGTGCTTCCCCTCAGACTTGACGCCTTGGTAGACTTGTTACAACCTGTTGAATCAAACGTCTCTCGCATCTTCAATTTTTCCACCGATTCAATATCTCTCCTGTCGTCTTCAAGTAGCTTCGACCAGAAGCAGAGGGTGACGGACGAATGCAGTCAGCAATCTCAAACAAAGTTTACGACCGTTCGTTGATGTGGGTTACTGCTCCCCCCAGTGCCGAGTCCCGGCACCGCCCAGCTGGGCCCAGCTCAGCCGACCTGGGGACACTGCGCAAGTCCAGACGACTGAGGGAAAGGTTTACTGTTCCAAGGGAGAGGGACTATTCGCTTGTCTAAATATTGTCTCATTCTCAGCCCTGAGGGGTCCCCGCCAAACATTGCCCATTCCTCGGCGCTAGTGCGACACCAGGAAGAATGACAATGCTCTAGCGTCTATATTGTCCGAACCCTCAGCGGAACGTCAGATCTTTCCCCAATGTTTGCCCTGTTCTCCGCCGTCTCTGGCCGTTGGGGATGGTTCCATGTACCGAATAATGAGGCATCTCTGGGTCGACAATATGATGCAGGTCTCTTCTTGATGTTGACTTCAATCTTAATCATCATGATAAATGTCTTTTTGCTACTATATTGCCTTTCTCGGGCTGCACTGACAACACTCATGACTGTTCGGTGGGCTAAATCTAGTCAACGACTTCAGGGTCCATCGAGAATCTGAGAGCCATGTCGCGGCCGGACAACAACCACAAACTAGGGGTAGGCGCAAGGTCTAATCTCAGGACGGCTATCATCACTTTGAAAGAGCTTCTTCAAGCATAAGCGAGTCGCAGAGCACTGTTCATCAAAACATCCTACCGACAGAACCTCGGCTGCCTTGGAGAAACTTCGTTTGTATCCGAGAAAGTAATTCAGCCCTGTTGCGGTTAATTTTCAGATATGCCAAGCTTTCGAAAGACGACAAGCTGAAGGGGCTTGTCGTCCAATCTCTAGATCCTTCAAGTTTTTGCTAAGGACGGGTACATCCTACTCCGCAAACTGTTCTGTTCAGGCATACTGATGAGGTCTATCGATACCGATAAACAGTTTGAGCTCTTGCCACCTTTTGCTGTCCGGAGCGATTTCTGGCGATTCGACGTCCCATTGCCCGGTCAAAACGGAGTAGTCTAAGAGTCAACGGCTGGGATGTGCAAGATGCCATTGACTCCAATCGTCAATGTAGCTTCAGAGTAAGTGTACAACCTCGATCAACCTTTGTCATTGCCAGGATTTCGTCAGCGTAATCCTGGCATCTAGTTCCCTACATCCAGCATGAGACTGGACTCGCGTATGGCCCTCCAAACAAAGACTTCGCCAGAACGCCACTGTCGCCCGTGATGGACATTTCTGCATAGTTCCATGAACTTTCTTTCTGCCAGCCGACCTGCCAAGGAGGCGATCCAGCTGCATTCTCTCCCCTTGACCCAGCTGCTCCTCCTGCATACGGAAGGGGAACACCACATGGTCGAAGAGCGTCAGCTGCATGGCATCGCCCAGGCGGTCACAGCCCTCCCGCACTCCATGTCGGGGGTCGGGTCCCAGCCCCCGTCGCTATGCCCGGGACATGCGCCAGCCGCGACATCGCCAGCAGCGAATAAGTATTCCTCCACGCCCGCCCAGTGTTCCTCCAGCGCCTCTCCCGTCCCTTCCAGCTCTTCGCCGGGTTCCACTCGCAGCAACTCGTTTCGTACGACATCCGCAAATAAGCAAGTCGATTTGTGTTGTTGCTCGCCATGGTATCGACTTACATCTTGGGCATCGCTGCCTTGGCGGTGCTAGCCGGAGCCCAGTCGACGACGTCAACGGACCCGATTACGCCGACGCCATTTTATAGTACGATCACGACGACTCGGACAAGAGCCGCGACAGTGAAAGCCACGGGGGCGGCCGAGACTCACACTGTCGCTGTTGGTGCTGTATGTGCAGCGTATATTACATGATCTCGCGCAGCTCTGACTAACCTGTGAAAGTCTGGGTACTCATTCTCACCGTCAAAAGTGACAGCCAACGTCGGTGACACGATAGGTCAGTTGTGAGAACTCACTCATGCTGTGAGAAACAGCAACTAACACACCCCAGAATGGATTTTCTACCCCGATGGACACTCAGTCATCCGCTCGGAGTTCGGTTACCCTTGCACGCCTTATGAATATATCGACATTGGTCGACAGGGCTTCTACAGCGGCCCTGAACCTGTCAAGGCTATCACGAACGATGTAAGTGCCGTCATCTTGAGTCTCGGTACATCTCTGACAGCCAACCAGATGCCAAGATTCAGAGTCCGCGTCAACGACACCGACCCCATCTTCTTCTACTGCGGCGCCCCAGGCTCATGCTACAAGGAGAAGATGATCGGCGTCATCAACGAGGTAAGCCGCGTCCATCTACCTAAACCGCCACGTCTAACATCACGCCTCCCTAGAACTCAACCCAAACCCTCGACAAGCAACTCGAAGCGGCCCTCCCCCTAACAACCCAGATCCTCCCCGGCGAGCCCTTCCCAACCGAGTCCGACGCCTCCCGCAACGACCACCACCACCTCAGCGGCGGCGCCATCGCCGGCATCGTCATCGGCTGCGCCGCCTTCCTCATCCTCGGCGGCCTCCTCGTCTACCTCTGCGGGCGCCGCGGCGGTCTCAAGCGCGCCTACCGGCAGCCCCCGCAGTCAGGCCAGGCAGGAGAGGTAGAGGCCTCGTACCCGCCCGTGACGGAGGTAAACTACAGCGCGCAGCCCAAGAGCCCCGCGACGCAAGGGTGGCGGAACAGCCATTACAGCGAGCTCAGCGGGACGTACCGCGACCAGCCCACGCCCATCGGCGGGTTCCCCGGCGCCAGCCCCCCGATGAGCCCCCAGCCGCATTCCATGCAGGCCTACTAGTGAGTCCAATCCGAATCGATGGTGCTGAGAGAGAGGATGGATGTTGGAAGAAAAGATGTTGGGTGTTGACAGCAACTGACCGAACACTACCACAGCGACCCCCGCATTTCGTCAATAGCGCCGAGTATCGCCGTCGAGGCCCCGGACAACCAAGCCGCGGCCCCACCACCGGCTGCCGCGCCGGAGGCTGCGCCCGTCGAGCTTCCGGCGTCCGCTGACCCGGGTAACTCCCCGCTCCCCGCGTACAAGCCGCGGTTCTCGTTTGCGGGGCAGGAAGCTGACTATCGGCCAAGTAAGGAACAATCTTAGGGTATAAGGGGGAACGGAGGGCTGTGAGGTTTTGGACACTGCCCCTTGGCTCTGTCTAGTTAGAGAGACGAGAAAATGATTGGGCTTAGTTAGAGGCATGGCGTTGGGGAGGGCGGACGTGGGCGAAATGGTTTCTTTGCTCAGGGGGTTCTGGCCGAATGGCGCCGGACTTAGTTGGATCTTGGTGATTTCCATAGTAATGTAAGAAATAATTACCATTAAAAATGTCTTTGAGCATCTTCAAGAACAAGTAATTCGGCTTCACGGATCTGCTAAGGCTAAATAATGTTGAACAAAGTCCATCGCGCCGAACTCTCTGAACAACCACGTTAGCATCAGGACTGTCTACTTAGACGTCGATCAACGTGCATGATCCTTGCGAAGTGCAACTCAACCCCTCCGTCTGGAATTTCTGCACAAAAATAATTAAGCAAGTGCACAGGTTCGGAAACTTCTTATCTTCCCTTACAAGCTCAAAACCCGTAGCTGCAACCGACAATTTACACGGCTTCCCCCTCCCGACCATCTTCTCTTCCTCTGTCGCCAAGAAGCCTTACAGACGTGGAGTGGACGGAGGCGTCGCATCTGCACTGGCCATCGTCGCTGTACATCCAGGGGCTCTCCAAAAAGCAACGAAACACAAACATGTCAACTACCTCTACGGACTTCGATTTTTTTGTTTTCAGGCTCGGAAAATGGGAACCGCACTGAGGTGTTTGCGGCCAGCACCTTGTTGAAGTCACCAGACCCCACTAGCCTCACGTCAGAGCGGCGGGGGGGACCACCTGCGGTACTTGTACAGCGATATGGTTGGCGGAAGACATGCTCCCATGGTGTAGCTGGTTTGCACATTGCTCTTATACCTCCGTTACCAACGGGAGATATGCAAAGGTCGTGAGTTCAATCCTCACTGGGAGCAACAACTCTTTTTGCGCATTTCGCCACCCTTTTTGCCCCGTGTCACATACACTGCGCGTTTCAACGGTGTTTTTTGGGCTGGCTCCAGCAACCCAAAAAGAGTGATGGAGATTCGCTCGCTTACAGTGGCGCGTGCACAGAATTCAGAGCAACTTTCTTCTGCCACTAAGGTCGCAGGGATCATGATCATCAGTGAGTTGAGACAGGCGAGGAACACACCTAGCGGAGTGAGAGAGGTATGCAACCATTATGACTGACTTCTGAATAAACGTTAAAACATTTCTTGACTTCAATCTGGCCCAAGCATCATTTGGACGATGACTACAAACTATCCAAAGCTGGTGATCTTCCCCCTCGTGCCTGCAGACGCTGTGGTCGACTTGGCCTTTTGGAATCCTCGCTCAAGCTGGGATTCGAGCTCTCTCTGCAAACATCAGCAGTAAGAGGACGTACTCGAACTGACATGATATCAGTTGTTTATGGCAGCGGGGTCGCGAAATAGTGTTGCCATGATTGCATTCAATAAGAAGCTTACCTGACATATATGGTCGACTATCCTCAACTATGCCTTGTCGTTCTCATCCATCGAATACTGCATGCCACCTGTCGTAATGTTATTACTCGAATAACGGCCTGCGCGGCTACTGGCTCCCGGCACTCTGGCGGTTGCTTTGCATAGTCACGTCGTCCTTCTTTCTAAATGGCCTTCTGAGGAAACATCAAGCAACGAGTCACTTTCTCGTATGTCCCTCGATGCTAAGGCGAGCGATGTGAGGCCGGATAGACCGGAAATTTCAGCCGGGACGGCCCCACATCGGTCACGGCAGCTAAAATGATGCCACGGAGCAGCCCCGTCAATGAATAGTACCGTAACAACCAACAGCAGCCAACCTTAAGGGTCAAGTTCAGAAGTCTTGACGACAGCGGCAGGAGGAGGGCCTTTGGACAACGGTTTACCGTGGCAGTGCTCGCAGAGAAAATGACAGTCTGGCTTACGCAGGAGGTTGCATGGAGAACACCGTCTATTTTTAGCTGACTCGCCGACGATCCGATGCCGAGGTCTCCCACTCAGCCGTTGAAGCCCACGATGCCGTCGGTTCGCTTGTTCACTACAGCCTACTGGAGAGCAATAGTTGATCATGTCCTATAGGCAGCAACGTGTGCAGCGATTGTTGAGAAGCACCGCCGGTCTTGAGACGGCACCGTCTAGAGGCCAGATAATCGCTGAGGAAGGGTTGGTGCCGCGGCAAGGGACTGCCTGTCACCCTGGTGAGGGGAGCTCTACCTAAGCTTTGGGGTAGGATGACTGAGTCAATTCACTGAGGCGAGCAAGCTTGTCGAGTCGCCCTACCTATGCTCTCTGCGGGACACCATTGGAGGCGGCATATCGCGCAACCACTATGGCACAGCGGATAAATCCACCAACGGAGACCACAGATAGAGAGATTTGAGACCGGCTTGGAGCTTCCGTAAAGAATCAAGCGCGGAGGGACAGCTGCTGGAAGCACAGAAGAGCTGCGCGAGAGAAAACAAAAGGAAGGCGTTCGTGCCGAATCCAGGGACTGAGCGCGCACGAGCCACTCACCCACCCGAAGCAAGCAAGCGGCCATCGCTCAGTGGCTCAAACGCTGAAAGCAGTCCACTGCTAGCGGAGTCGTGCCTTAACCGTAACCCCCGTGGACACCTAGCCCAGTGGTAAGGCACCTTGAGACTTGGAGAGCTTGGGCAGGTGGGCAACCAGCTCGGTACTTCCCCCCTCGCGGGTACACCAGCGGGGGCGGGAGACTGCGGCAGTTGGGCAGGTATCTCAAGTCTGGGCAGGTACATGCCGGTGACTGTCCAGCGACCTACCCGTTCTGGGTGTTCTGTCTAAAAAGTGGACCTCGGACCTCAAGCATCCATCGCGGGAGGTCGAAAGGACACATTGTACCAGAAGTCATCCACGCTACCATACCTTGCTTGCCTTGCCTTACCTTTGCGTTCAGGACAACTTGCCCTCCTTTCTCCGTTCCCTTCCTTCGACACTCCAAAGTCGTTCTTCGCTTTCTCTCTCGGTCACCACACCAACAGCTCACGGCCTTGTCTCTTTTTACCAACGCCAACGGCCAATCCGTCAATTCTGTTTTTCCTTTCGTCGTCGCAAACCTGCCGCCAAACCCAAAGCCGCCGAAACGTCAAGGCCAGCCCTCGGATCCTCAGCTGCGGTTAACCCTCTTTTATTTTTTTCGGTTTCGACACCAACACCCTCCACCAGACCAACCATCGCCTCTGCCGACGGCTTCTCGACCAGGATAATTAGAGAGCGAAACAGCTGGTCTGTCTGTACCTTTTTGTGCAACAGCCGCGTCCACCAACCCTTGCGACCTTCCCTTCCGATCATTCCCTCATCGCGATGGCTCAGCAAAGAGGCCCGTCCTACGGCTTGGGCGCCGGTGGCCCCCCGTCCTTTGGCGGCTCGAGTATGGACAACGAGGAATCCAGCCCTCTGGACATGATCCGCCAGCAGACGAGCAAGATTGAGGATATGTTGGACACTCTCAGCGAGCCCGTCAAGCCGTGAGTTGGACCCTTGGTCTTGGCAGGGAGCTTGCCGAAAAGCTCGTGACTTTTGGAGCCATGCTGACGAGGGTCTCACGATAGCTACTTGCCCGCCATCGGCCGCTTTCTGATTGTTGTCACCTTCCTTGAGGATGCCCTCAGAATTATCACCCAGTGGAGCGACCAGCTGCTCTACCTGCACGACTACCGACACAGTACGTCTTCTAGTCTACGACCGATAAATGATCGCGTGCTAACATGCTGCAGTCCCCTCCGGTATTACGCATTTGTTCCTCATTACCAACGTTGTCGCCATGACCGCCTGCTCTGTTCTCGTCATCATCCGCAAGTACTCCGATTACGCCGTCGCCGGTCTCATGGCCGTCGTCGTCACCCAGGCTCTCGGATACGGCCTGATCTTTGACCTCAACTTCTTCCTGCGCAACCTGTCCGTCATTGGTGGCCTGCTCATGGTTCTTTCCGACTCATGGGTTCGCAAGACCAAGGCATTTGCCGGCCTGCCCACCCTTGACGAGAAGGATCGCAAAATGTACTTCCAGCTTGCTGGCCGTGTCCTGCTGATCTTCCTCTTTGTTGGCTTCATCTTCAGCGGCTCCTGGTCCGTCTGGCGCATCATCACCTCCCTGATCGGCTTTGTTGCTTGCGTCATGGTTGTCGTTGGATTCAAGGCCAAGTTCAGCGCCACCCTCCTGGTTCTGATTCTCAGCATCTTCAACATCCTCGTCAACAACTTCTGGACTGTAGGTTATGCTCTGCCCCACCCGCTGTTCTCCGTGCTAACCTGTTCCTAGCTCCACGAGCACCACCCCCACAAGGACTTCGCCAAGTACGACTTCTTCCAGATCCTCTCTATTGTAGGCGGTCTCCTGCTGCTCGTCAACAGCGGCCCCGGCCAGTTCTCCATCGACGAGAAGAAGAAGGTTTACTAGAGAAAAAAACACCAAAGCCTGGCTTCGGACGGGCAGAAGGAGTTTGGAGAAGAACGCGACCAGCAACAATTTGCTGGTTTCTTGGCATTACGAACGGCATTCAAAAGGTTGCACTTCCCGCACTGCGATTACGGTTGGCGGGGTTACGGGATCACATCGTGGCATATATGGATTGTAGACAGGAGCACAATAGTTGATACGGAAAGCTGCGTGCTTGAAATGGAAGATATATTCATGTTCAAAGCGGTGTTGAATTGCTGTTTCGAGGACTAGTCACTTCCGTGCCACTGCAGTTGTGGGTAATGGTATTCTGCACTAACATCGATGGGAGGCGTTGCCAAGCACTGAGACTTGGGACATCGGTTCCCCTCCGCGGCGACTTGCATCTACGGCGGCTCTTCCCACTTGGAGGGGGACACAGCATCGGTTTGCGTCGTCTGCCATTGGATGGTGCGATTCCAAGTGGATCACATGCAGGTTTAGTTGGTGAACCCCCCTCCTTTTGGGCCAGAGTGAGAGAGACTGCAGCATCGAAGCCTCTCACTTCCTTGTCATTATGTAAGGAAAGGTTTTTGGACCATGGTAGCTGAGGCC